TACGTAGCAAGCACAGGGTGTAGTCCCCGCTGACTTGCCACAAAGTGGTACTCATGCATCAACTTTGAAAATAAGAAAGATGGATCAATCGATAGGGGTTCGAATGCAGGACCTCTCGGTTCAACTGAGCCACGCCGGTGTCGTTAAAAGAGAAAATGGAGTCAGACGAGAAGTTCTAATCAGATAATGGACGTAGGCTTCGACAGTATTATATCATAACCGTAATTTTTTGCCGTCCAGTTAATTGCTTGTCTGAATTTTTTGTTTCTGCCCAAAACACGTCTTTGACTAAGTGACTTAATTACACTCTATTTTCAGGTACCACGATCCTTTACAACCCGCACTCACTGTATGACTATGATTAAAAACTTTTATTTAACAACTCAATTCAACAATAAAATTAAATCTCAGAATATATTAGCGAAAAGTATAGTTTACATAATGAATGCGATTCTGCGATCAGACGATAAGTGAAAGGGAAATTTTTATTTACTGTTTTTCTGATGGGATTACGATTCGCGCACTTAAACTCTGTATGCGAGTTAACAACAAGTTTCATCTTACTGTACAGATTTTCTATGAAGGCATAAGATCTGATGACCCCGGTTACCACACATCGCAGTCTGTATCGTTTCAAAATACATACCAAAACACCATTACGGTCGAACGAGGATCCGTCATTGAAATTTGAGTATCCGTACTTGAATCCTTGTTTCGCAGCAGCACCCAAAAAAGGAGTCATCACGTATGGTGCTCCGGAGGAAGCGACGGTCGTTGTAGACGTCACTACTGGTACTTTTGGCAAGTGTTGTCGCCGTTGTATGGACTGAGTGTACGAGTGCAGGCGGGGAGCGTTCACTCGTGTGGCAACCAACGCATTGCCATGAAATGAGTCCTTCGCTGCGAAAGTTAAACCACGGGCCATAGTTCTAGACAGAGGTCTTATAACGCCGGCGACCGGCAGTCTAACGGCGTCAAAGCCATTTCCGGTCACGGGGCCAGCGGCACTAACGCCTTTCCTGGGTATTACACCCGAAAAGTCCTTCTTTAAAATAATGCGCACCGGCTTCAGACCCGAGGACGACCGAGAAGTGAACGCCAGACACACTTTGCCAGTGGAGTCGATAACTTTCATCAATTTCCCTGCACTGAGAGGAGCACTGATGTCAGATATCACGTTACGTTGTACAACCGACGGTGACGCAGAGGATGTCCCAGGTACCGGCTCGGCGACAGAGCAAGGAGAGACTGCAGGCGTAAGCAACGGGCATGCCTAAAGCAGAAAGTGGTTAAATCGCTGAACAATAATACTTACTGACTAGCGGCATATAGATCTTCACTGCATTCCATGTTCAGTATACCAGTTGAATTAACTCAGAGGAAAGGAAAATTTCTAACATTGGGAAAACGGTGTCTTTTTAGTATCCATGATGGGAGTCACTTCAGGCACCAAACGTTAAAGGAGCTTATGGCGCAACGCTCATGCCTATTTCGATTTCAACATCGAGGAGTGCATCTTTCTCCTTAAGGCAATATTCACGGCTGGTTACCGTTCCAACATTTAGTCAGCTGTATATCTCGAGTGTGAAACGCCAGATATCCCTTTCTGAGTATCCCGCTGAGCTACATCCCGGCTTAACTCATACAATTTAAAATGGTTCTCGCTTTGAAACGTCTCTAATAATCTAATTAATATATGTAGTTACCATTTCGTGGGATTTTTATGCAAATATAAATTCATCAATGATATTAATAAATCATCAATCATGAAAACTAGAAAATACCGCAGATTACCGACATCCAGAAACTACTGTTACATACCTTATATATTTAGTTATTCACCTGTTAGACAAAATGACTGCCATATTGTGCGATAGCTTTCCAAACCCGCCTGTCAATACCATGTCAATTTATGAGCAGGATTTAAACGACGAAACAGCACCTCTCCCATGCGATGACCGGCCTAGGCACGGGGTGCATAAACACGTCAGGGCTCCATGGGATTTAACGTCTACAGTGAATCGGATGCAAGACCGCTTTTGCGAGTTCAGCTGAATAAGGGCAGACTATGACTAGTTATTCACATCGCTAGCCACTCTTTTGCTTACTCTCCTACTAACTTTTCTAATTGTGCCAGTTTGTTTGCATACATAATTGTTTTGTCATGTACCTTTTAAGTACTTACTTAAGTGGTTTACTGACCGAATATTTAGTTGCTTACTTCCTTATAAACTTCGTACCTTAGTTAT